CCGCCCCAGGCCAATGGGGGCGGCGGGAAGCGGCGCGGGCTGATGGATGTGTTGGCTGCCGCTTCCCGCCGCCCCCACTGGCCAGTGGGAGCGGCGAACTGCGGCCAGTGGGAGCAGCGAACCGTGGCCAGTGGGAGCAGCGATCGGCCGAACCTGCCGACACGGCAGGTAAACAAACCAGCATGGCCCGCCAGGGTGCTTACCCTGGTGAGCTGCGTGCCAAAGGTTGCCGATCCCTGGCCTACATACTATGCTGAATAGCTCTTCGTGAATTCCTCAGAGAAAGAGACTCTCAGAACATGAAAATGACTATAAAAAATAAGCCCAGACGACAGTATTCTTTTAGTCTGCAATAAAATCATGTAATGTTTCTAAGAAAGTGGAGGTTCTTGGTGTCCTTGATGATGTTTGCAGATTTTTTCTTTTAACAAGAATGATTTTTTTTTAAAGGTCTGACATTCTCAGATTGACATCCACATAAATCAAAAGAATAAACAGATCCTTGTTTCCACTCCAATGCTTTGTTCTTTATGGTGAAGATTAGCTGTACAGCTAATGTAGAAGAGCTGAGGATTGATATCTATAAAATCGAGTTTAGAATCAATCAGAAAAAAATCTCAGCGATCTAAGACCGAAATTAATTCTGACATCTTAATTATAAGCTCAGAGGAAAGGTTGGTGCAAGAATTGTGAGCTTTGAAGGTTATTATTATATTGTCATTATTCATTAATGACTGCAAAAGAAACCATCTCTAAACGGTAACGATTTTCACAATGGAAAACCTATGGAACTACATATTACATCTCATTTGTGCCAAAGAAGTCCTAAAAACAGAGGTAGAAACAATGCTTTGACATATAACAATACATGTTACTTTACAAACATTAACTTCTTTATTTCTAGCAGTCTAGAAAATCTATTGTCTGTTTGTCATTAGCATAATTATTTTTAAAATAAAAAGTACATGGGGCAATTTAGCTGGAGAAAGGATGCAAGTCTGAGAATGGAAAATCCCACTCGATAAGCTGCAGAGCTACTTCTGGATTGTGGATCAAACAAATCCAAATTACTAGGGTAAATCCTATGTCTAAAGAAGGTTCATTGCTCAGCCAAACATTGTGGTGGAACCTACACAGACATCCTACATCTTAATTTCGAATCTTCCCTCCTCCATTCATTTACCTTTGCCGCTTTTAATGGAAACTCCCCTCAATCAGTGAGCTGCCGTAGGTTTCCAGCTGCATTTTTGCCCTGCAAGCTGTAGAGGAAACGCATGATTACATTTTAGGGAAAGTTATTGTAAACCATGATTTAAAAAAAAAATTAGGAAAAGATGCTTTGACTATGTTCTTTGAAGCTACAGCTGACATTTGCAAATAGTCTCTGAATTTGAGAGAACCTCTTAAACCCACTGAAAATTGTGACTTCTGTGTAATTTATAAGCTATCCTATGGCAGTGGGTACTGTTATATCTGAGCACTTCACAAATATGAAGGCTGGCTGTGACAGATGCACAAAGTCAGTCCAGATCTTGAGTCCTTGTCCTGTTCATTAATCACATGATCATCTTTCACCCCAGTCGGATCTATACTGATTTGTACCGTCAAACAAATAATTGGAAGGGTAGTTGGAGATATTTGCCTGAAAAGCGATTGAGGTACAATGGAAAGATTCAGATTTTTGTTTGGTGCAAATGGGCTCTCAGCCATTAGGGCTGCACAGTGAGATCCTTGAAAATATGCAAAACTTTCATTTCCTAATTATTCAGTGGTCTGCAGCAAGTAAACATTAATAATTTAAGCACACTTGCCTCTGTTCTTAACAGAAGCATGGCTTTTTTAAATTGCATAAGAACAGCTAGAATAGATGGAGGTCTCCTGAGGGCAGTGCTTGAAGCTCTGTATTCAAAAACAGGTTTAATTGCGGTTCTAAAACTTTCTTGTAGTGTGGACCACGTCCTAACAGAGCATTGCATTGGTGTCTACCCTCCTGCATGATCATGTCATGTTCCAGTGGACTGGTATGCTAGCATGCCACTCATGTACTCTCTGAAGTAGGGAAGTATTATCCCCATTCTGTAGATGGGAAAATTGATGTACAGAGGCTAAACATTAATTTGCTAATGCTCACGTAGGAAGCATAGCACTGAGCAAGGAGTTGAATCCAGGCTTCCTGAGTCCGAGTCCTAGTCCAGTGTCCTGTCTGGTAGACCGACATGCCTCCCTGGAGAAAGGTGCCTCATCTACATCACAAATATGAATTACTTGAACACATTTTGACCATATTTTAACTCACGTGGCTTCTACAGCATTTGCCTGTGTGGACAGAAGAACATAGTTTAAACATGTTAGAATGGTGTTTTAGCCCTCATAGAAGTCTAGGCTAAAAATATGGTTCCTACATGCTTATAATATGGTTAAACTGTGTTAGAACAATCTTTAAATGTACTATCTCTTTCAGAGGTTGCCATGGTAGAAAATGCACTTTTCTAGAGCGTACAGTGAAATCCAGCATGGTCCAATACATGAGTGGTTAAACTGTGCTTTATGATAAGTACCAGCCTCCTTAGTAGCTATGAAAGTGGCAACTTTGACTTAGCAATGCTGGAGCAACTGTGTTTTACTGTTCTACTGTTCTTTTACAGTTAACTCATGTCACGAATGGGTCCCTTTTAAAAGGCTCATTGTGTGTAAATCCCTTGTAAAGTTGAGCAAGGGATGAGAAAATGACTCATTTTGTTGCTGCCCTTCAATATCTCAGCACCATTGCTGAGGTTAGGTGATGGAGCAACATGTGATTAGCTTGTTGAGTTTAATCATTTTGGGTGGAACAACCACCCAACTCCTGGGGTTAATTTAGAGCAGCATCATTAATAGTCAAGAGCCTGCACCTTCAGAGATATTGTAAACCATGATTTAAATTCTGGAAAGTGAATTGGTGCCCTAATCCTTGTGCTCCCTTTGCTTTTTGTGACTTTTTGAGAAGCAAGGCAGAACAAACTAAATCTTCCTACAAAGCTCTTTTTTTCCTCTTAAGCAAATTTCTCAACAAGTCTTAAGCTATGATAACATTATCTAGATGTTCCTGCCTTAAGGTGAAGTCAATTCCATCTGTATTCATTATATAGTTTCTTGTACTAAAATGCAAATTAATTTAATCTGACCGTGTAAGCAGCTTATTTCAATATGAGCTGTAATTATTGCTGGGGAAAGATTTCCTTAAAAACTTTTATCAATTATTTGATGTTCATATTACTTTCTGTGATGTGTATATCTGGATTTTACTGTCAATGTTAGCCTGAAATATCCCACCCTGTTAGCAGGGGTTGACTCTGCTGAGAAAGGGTTAAGTGCATTCTGCTGACTCACTTGTAACTTCTTTCAGATATAAAGGAGGAGAGACTAGCAAGCTGGAGGGAGAGAGGATCTAGAGTGCGGGCTGAGCAAGAAGGAAGGAGGGACCCTAGAAGCAGCCAAGCCTGCAAGAGAAGACCATGCTGAATGTAATGTTAATTTCTTTCTTAGTAAAGCCAGTCCCCAGGGAAGGGGAAGAGTTTGGACTCTACCCAGTCTTTGGACCATGTTTCAAATCAAGTTAGGAAAAGCATCTACTCAAACTACTATTTATTATTTATATTATGGTAGCACCCAAAGACCGCAATTGAGCTCAGGTTCAGGCTCTACTATGTACTCTACAGACACAGAGGTTCTTGCCCCAAAACACTTTTAGTCTAACTTGCAAAATCCTTCCTATCTTCCCAAATTTCCTGTTTCTCTAGTTTACCAATTTTTTTTTCCAGATTCTAAAAGCTCCTCATTTTAGACCTATAGCAGTACTTTAGGTAGTGATGTAAAAACTATTGGAACTACCTTCTCCTCTGATACTGTTCCAAAACTGAGTTTATTTCTTTCCCAGAAAACATGTTACAGAAGAACTGCTTGTTTTAACTGCACACACATTTCTACAGAATAATTTAAAAGTAATTAGCAAATCCTCTTTCTTCAAAATGTTCCTAATCGGTAAAGATGATTTCTTGCATATTCTTTGTATGAAGATAAGTTATTTTGTTTTAAAGTTGTATAAATATAACTATTTAAATAACAAATCTTAAAAATACAAAGTCTATCCAGTGCTAGACAGGTCTAAATATAGTAAAAATACTATACTGTTAATCACTGTAGAGGGGACAACTTAACACGTTTACAATATTATAAAGTAGAATAAGTTAAACATTACTTGTGGTTGTCAAAAGCAAATTTCCTCTCCTAATAAAATGCAATAATTCACTTTTTTCCCTATTCATTAGTTTCACTTAGTTCACTGGACTTGTTTTGGTTTATTCGTCCTCCCAGGACAAGAAACTGAGCTCTAAAAATAAAGAAAATCAATTGGCAAATTATAATTATAGCTCAAATCTTTCCCTCCATTGTCATTCTCTTCTTCCAGTTCTAATTGTCTAATTGGAGGGGATTGGACGCTGAGTTGCTCAGCACTATGCAACTGGTTAAAATCCATCTCTAGTCAGTAGTGATGGAAAATTGTTTCTCTCTGAAGAGACTGACTGTGATAGTCCTGTAAGCCTGCAAGAGGGGTAGGCAGTGATTATCAGAGTGGGTGTCTGGCCTTGGAGAACAGACTTTTCTTTTGGTATTCTGTAAGGAAGTTTAATTCTATACATAAATATATCTTTTGTAGCTCTGCTCTGTGATCTTAGTCTGCTCCTCTAAATGCTAATTTATTACGTTTCTCCAGACACTTCACTGCTCCTTTAACTGCTGTCCGGTTCGGAGTGGTGGAATGATTGGGAAAACACAACAGCGAGGTGGGAATGGGACAGGCTGGCTCTTTAGGAGAATGGAACAGTGGATTACAGTTATTGGGAGGAAACTGGGACATACCATGAGGCTATTTGATCCACCCCAATCCGTGTGAATAAAACTAGTAAACTTGTCAGGTTTCATGAAGATTGCTCACATCCCATTAATGATGTAAAACCACTTACCACTAAACTGCTTAAAAATGCAAACCCTGCTTCTGGAACATGCTGTAGAGAAATAGGCTGACGCCGGAGAAAGGTTAGAGCAGGGGATTTCAGTAAATGATAATCAGGAACTAAACTAAACTTAAAAAAAACCAAGGAAACTATTGAACTTAACAGACAAAGAAAAATATGATAAAACTCTTGAGCCACTGAAATTAACATTGTACTAACGAACCCATTCTACATCCAGGCCAAGAGTTACACCTTGCCTCAGTCTTGTTTTGAGTAATTTAAGTAGTTGCAGGTCTGTTTTTAGAGGCAGTATTTGTAATAGGAACATCAGCACTATTTTTATTTGCTTGCTAGATAAAAGAAGGGCTTCTAAGAGTGTTGAGTGCAACCCCAACCTAACTGTACCATGAAAACAATAATAGTCTCTTTCTGCTACCTCATAACATCTATTCATAGCTTTTACTCACAAGTTCTCAACTAATAATCACCCAGCTGGTAGAGGTCAGTACAGTAAAAGTCATATCCCAGCCAAAGTGAAGTTCATGCTCTTATTTTTCAATCCATGAGAAAGTAAGTACTTCCTCTCTACATATTAATAATTTAATGGGTTATAATAGGGTAAAATTCATCCCTGGTATATGCAGGTGCTACTCCATTAACTTAATGGAAGTTTACCTGCTTTTATTCTAGGGCTGGATTTACCTCTTGGTCCCTAAGTATTTTCAAATTAAGACCAAAAAATCAAGAGAATGTCAAGAAATATAAACAGTGTCAGATACAGAATTTGTAAAAAGCTTTGCCAACCTATAAAGTAGTGAGGGGGGAAAAAACAGTTCTCTAGCATTTATTGTGTTTCCTGTATCGGAAAAAACTAACCCTCTGCAACAGAGCTCCATTTTACAGTGAATAAACTCCAAGACCTCCGAAATATAGATCATTTGTTTTAATGCAGAACACTTATGGTTCTTCAGCATCTGTGCTGCTAATATATGAAATGCTCAGAATTGATGGATGTTCAGCTTCCATTCCTGCACTAACTCTTACTCCAGAAATCAGCATGTTGTATTGTAACCTGATGTACATAATAAGGATTTTAAATTCTCCGTTCAAAGTCTGTCAAATATCTGAAAATGCAAAACCACTGGATTTTGTTATGGATCTCAGAGGGTGCTTTTTGAGCCTGCCGTTGTTTGAACAACACAGAAGGTTGAGACAACAGCTGTTAGGGTAAAGATGGGGCCTGTACCATGAGCACACATCCAAAC